TCTGTGTGTGTGGAAGTATGCGCATGCATGTCAACCAAAAAAGTGCTTCCATTTGTTTATATAACGTCGGTTTGCAAAAATTTTTTCTGCATTATATTCGTAATTCAATTCTCTTGAATTTTTTTTATTTTTTTTTTCAGCAAGCGAAAACAAATGTGCAAGCTTTTTCCTTACAGTTCCTCTTGGCAGCCACTCTCCTCCTTTCTCGCTGTGTTGCTACTACTGCTATGCCTTCCCCTTCCCTACAAGGGCAAGTGCAGGCCTTTTTCTTACACTTACTGGCTAATGGGTCCCTGCACTGGCTAACTGGATCCCTCTCCATCTCTCTCTGTGTTGCCACTGCTAATCTGTACCCCCCAACCCTAAAAGTGCACGCTTTTTTAGTACACTTTCTGGCTGATGGGTCCTCGTTTTCAATCGTCCTTATAGACAGGAACTACATGGAGAGCATATGACTCATCTTAACCCGCGATAAAGAACTTCGTTATAAAAATTTATTGTAAAAGTGAAAAGCAAAGCACGCACCCAAAGGCAAGCTTATGTGATTTGTAGTGAAAACAACCCGAAGCCTGTATTGGTGAAAAATTTAAAATAACACATGTACCATGACGTTATTTTGTCAATTACAAATAAACTAGGTCCTTTTTCAGTTAAAGTTCCGCTATAAAATTGAGCTTCAGTCTAAATCTGTTGGTTAAACACAAAGTTGTACGTTTGAAAAGGTAGTTAAGAGTCGCTCCACTTTGTTTTCGTAGGTTGGGCACTCGCTCCCATATGTAGAGATGTGTTCATGTGTCAGATCTATATAGTCTATACACAGAAGTATGTTTACATACGATACTGTCGATACTGTTGTTTTCATAACAAATTGTTTGAAAGACTGTCGACTTATCTTGATTTTTTACTGCTCTTTAAACACAAAGCAAATGTTATAATTTTTTAATTATTTTTTTTCGTTATACCACAGTGAAGCAGATGAGTAGACTTCAATACATGTTCACCTTCAATATAAACCCGTTTTTTGTTACCTACGTACTTTAATATTGTACTAAAGCTTGCTAAATTACCCATGTTCTCATACAACTGTCAAATCTGTCAAATGTTTCATTTGATTTCCACGCGTTAAAGAGGTTCAATCTCTTGCTATAGTCCATGCGACACTGTCTATAATTTGGTATGTCGTCTGTCTTTCTCGTTCTCCTGTGACAATATAACCTTTTGCAGTTTTTATCTCGCTTATTAATTAATTTTTTCTCTGACAAGGACCCTCGAGATGTTCTATAAAATTAAGTACGATCACTAGATAATTTTTTATTATTGATAAAATTTTCATCTCAATGTCATCGTTAATAAGCGAGGTAAATGCAACAGAAGTGCTTGAAAAGACGACAGCTAATAAGCCTACGTGTAAAAATTAACTAAATATGAATATGTATCACTTGGTTTATAGGAATCCTCGTGCCTTAAAATTTTCACAGTGTCATTGTTATGACTTTGTTCATTTGTAAACAAACTTTCATTCAATTCTTATGTTGATTCGTTTACCGATAGAACTTCCTTAAAACATTTGTTATGAAAATATTAGTATTGACAGTATCGTATGTATACATACATCTGCTTATATACTATATAGATGTGCAACACGTATACACCTCTACATATATAAGCAAGTGCCCGACCCATGATGTAAAAATACAAGGTGTAGCGTTCCGAGGTCTCATTTTCATGCCGTTCTGCGCCTGTCGTAGTGATGCTATATTTGAGAGAGATGTGACTACCACAGCGTCGAAGAGCCTGTACAATTAAACGAAGTGGCCAAAGTTGAAACTAAAACCTATTCCACGCCTCTCACCTTGAATTGAGAAACACATATACATATAGACGTACGTATGTACATACGTGTATGTTAACAGATCATCTTTTACCTATTTAGTCAGTTTTTTTCTGTGTAAATATTGACGAATTGTGCATTTGTCACTGAAATAACTCGAATGAAATATTAAAATAAAATTTATTTATGATTTTACAAGTTTATTAATCGTAATATGCTTTATATTTTAAAAGCTTTTGAAATTTGCAGACAAACATGGTGGTGCGATGGAAGCATTCCTGATTGGTCATTCAAAATGGATGCACAACGCCACACCTTATATTTTTACATCATGGCCCGACTAAAGCTCGATTTTATAGCTGAGTTTTAACTGAAAAAGGAACTAGTTTATTTGTAATCGGTAAAATAACATGTTGATACATGTGTTTTTTTCAATTTTTCACCGACACAGGCTTCAGGTTGTTACCACGTGAGGTCGCATGAGCTTGCCGTTAGGTGCGAATAGCAGTAAAGGATGAGGTAACCAATACATGTATACTTGAAGCAAAAAGATTTGGCAATGACCTATAGAAGATAGACCAGAGAAATCAGTCAAAATATAGTTATTCTTGCTAACAACAGATGACGGACATACAACATTAACAGGCTATTAAAAAAGGTAGTAGAAAAAAAATTGTCGACAACAGCAGTGGTCAAGACAGCGTATCGACGCCTCGGACGATAACAAGCCCAGTTCAGATTTTTCAATGTTATTTTAAATAGGAAAATCTGAACTGGGATTGTTTTCATCCGAGGCGTTGATTTGTTGTATATGTTATCAGATAAAATACGAGAGTAAAGTAAAAGAAATTCCGAGAGCACATCGTGCATCTATAATTCCAAAAGTACTAGTAGTTGAGCAGTTACATAGTTGCTAGCAGAAACAAGTTTTCCGTTAATATAAAAGAGTGGTAATTTAATGAAGCTGACAAATTAACTGGGCATGAATCTTAGGGAAAATAAAAACTGAGGATTTGACTACCAACCAGAACCAGTCAAAGTATTATTTGCGAGGAAAGGTGAGTTGAAGAAAATAAAAAAGACGTGTTCATTGTAGAAATTTATACAGTAAAGTGGAATGGAAAGTCAAATAAAGAGTCTATGAAACATATTGCATGTCGCAGCAAAACTAAGAAGTGTTAAAACAGGCTTAAAGTTACTTATGAAATTTCAAATAATGCAAAATGAAAGGATACAATTAAGATAGAAAAACAGACGGACAAAAGTCGATTAACGACTTGATGATGATTATCCAGACGGAAGGAAAGAAATTACTTTGCAGAGTAAGAGTATTGTTAAAGAAAAATGTACTAAATGATGAGACGCAAATAAAATATTTCAAGTTAAAAGATAAAGACGTACGGTATAAGTGAAGTAAGAATAATGGACTACAGAACAAAAACAGAACAGAAGATTTTAGTTACTTAATAAATATTAGTAATTAAATGACTACCAAATATTTTTACAAAAAGTTACGAAATTTTTAAAACCCTTAAGAAGAAGTAAAAAAGGAAAATAAAGATTAAGAATAATTACGTTAAACACAGCAGATATAAAAGCTTTTCTAGGATTAAAAACAAATAAAATTAATAACTTTTACGTCGTAGTACTACTAGAAACGTGTGTAGATATGTGCAAAAAGTACAAATGAGTGAATGATTTTAATTAGTGTTAGAGAAGTAGAAGATACACAAAAAGACAATTACAGTATAATACGATTTAAACCAAAAAAACTCTAAAAACAGTTAATATAATCCGTGGCGACTAGAGTTAAAAAAATACTGGTAAAATAGAGTTGCGGTATTGAGGAAAGTGTGGGTAATGAGAGATATTGAAATAAAACGTTGTAGACATCCAAAAAAAAAAGAACTGTTAAAAACGAAACATACTTATGTGTAGGAAGATAAAAAAAAAAAAAATAATCGAGAGAAAGGCTTGCAAAGTTGAAAGGTAAAATACATACGGTCAAATACATCGAAGAAAAAATTAGATCTCAGAGGTTCTGAAGACGCATGCGATCACTCGTCTTTGCAAATTCACTTTAAAAAATCTAGCAGTTTGACAGCTTACGTGATAAAGAGAAGGACATTAAGAAAGAACAAAAGTTGTTACTCCATAAATTCAAATGTCAGTGAAAGAAGTTATAGTAAAATACTACGAAATAACCCTAGAAAGAAAAGTGAAGCGAATAATAGTAATGGAATCATGCAGAATTGAAGAATAAGTGAAAAATTCCTGTAACTTGAAGTATTAGACAGAGTGTGAAAAGAGTAAAAAATTTTTTAATTATTTATGGATTATAAGCACTAAGAATATAAAAAATATAAATGTACAAAGAACTTCTTAATTATGAAACGTAATACATAGGCAATAGAATATAATACAATAATATTTATTGAATTAAAAAAATAAACTCATCTTATATTAAAATTTAGCTGTTTGTTTCTTTTTTATTCATCACTAAAATCTTAATTTCTTGATTTAACTGTATGCTTATTCTTTACTTACAATAATATCCTTATGAATTTTACTTAAAATTTCTCTGTTCAAAAATTCAATTTCAAAACATTGAAAAATAACTGAAAAAAGCCGCTTTTACCGTTATTCAGTAACTATATACCTTTTTTTTGTTGTACATGGATTACTTACACTTTCTAATATCTTTTATTAAAGCCCTTAATCGTCTGGTTCTATCCATAGTCAAATTAAATGATTTTTATTATCTGATATGAGGTGCGCTATATAACAAGGTAAGCTAAAAACTTTATAGAAGATATAGAATTTGTAGTAAAGAGTTGACGAGATTATGTGGTTAAGCCTCAATAGTTTTATCGGATCAGGAGGTGATAAGATTTATGGGTTCAATGTATTAAGCATACTGGTCTTAAATTTAATGATTTTCGAGGTTATTGTAATCTGACAAGTCAGACGTAAATGAGCTCATTAAATCTCGAATAATCCTCTACTCGAGAAACTCTGCTATGACTCTTACATCAGAAATTTGTTTTTCGTATGGCTAGAAAATTATCTTCAATTTTTTAATACTCATTCTACTATAATTATCATTTTGAATATTTCTGAAGAACCTTACATTACAGTTTCTTTTAAAAAATATTTTATTATTTTTCAGGGAACATCTAGACCGTCGCATTATCATGTTTTATGGGATGATAATCATTTTGAAAGTGATGAATTACAATGTCTAACGTATCAATTATGTCATACTTATGTTAGATGTACAAGGTCTGTTAGTATTCCTGCTCCAGCTTACTATGCACACCTAGTGGCTTTTCGAGCTAGATACCATTTAGTTGAGAAAGAACATGATAGGTTTGTTCTTATACCGTTTAATTCTTCATTAATACACATTTATAAATGAAAGTGATTTACACATTTCATCTTACGTAAAGAATAACTTTTATTTATCATTTTTTTTCTTCCAGTGGAGAGGGATCTCACCAGTCAGGTTGCAGTGAAGATAGAACACCAATAGCTATGGCGAGAGCAATAACAGTGCATGCTGACACTAAAAGAGTTATGTACTTTGCATAAATGTTTAGATACTAAACAAAATCTTTAGGCCAAAGATATAATCAGAAATGTTTAACTTTTATTAGATTATACATGTTTAAATGTACCGTAAAAAGAATACGTAACTAAATCTTATAAAAGTGACGCCAATTGAAAAAAAGTTAGACCGTAAAGCTGTAAAAAAAAGATTTGATATGGGTGAACAGATAATTTTTGCTGAAATATTTCTGTGTTATCTCTATTTATCAGAAATACGGAAGTAAATTGATTTATTAGGTTTTTGGTAAATTAACAATTTTCAAACTCTTTTGTGTATAGTAAACATTATTGGTTCTGCATGTAAATGTTTCATGAGAGCATAAATTTTTGAGAGATTCAATAACTAAGGATTTTTAAATGACTATGTCGTAATTTTAAATTGTTCAATGAAACTGATGGATTACATTTACACAGAATTTTTTCATCAACAGTTGAAGTTTTTCTCATCTTTTAAAATATCTGAATAATATTAGTGTAATTCCTACGTATCAAAAAGAGTTTTCACAATCGTGAAATTATTTATCTTAGTGTACGTTATTTCATGGAAAAAAGTACTGTACAAATACGTCACTTTTTAACGGGGCCAGTAAACATTTATTTAATTTCAGACAATTACTTACTTCTGAAACAATACTATGTCTCAAAAATTTGAAAAGTTCTAACCAATTATTCAAATATCGTCGTTCTACATTAATTCAAGGAATTTTTTTTCATCAAAAAAAATAATTTTAAAATGTGTTTCTTCAGTCCTATTTTAAATTTTTCTCACTTTATAGGTGAATCTGGTAGAACAAAAAAAAATTATTATAATTTTGTAAAATGCAAATCTACGGGTACCTTGAAGTTAAAACTTGTTAGTGCTACATGTGTACTAGTATCTACATACTTCTGGATCACTTTTTTACATCGAACATTATGACACCGCTTACTTGATCTAGCGAAAGCCAATAATAATTTCCATAAATATATGTTACATCACTTGAAATTCACTTATGTTATTCCACATGTTTTAGAATTATTTTCCTTACTTTTTCCTCTTTATATGTTATTCTAAAAAAAATTTCTTAACAATAAATGAGCCATACATTTTTAGTAACATATTGCTTTTATGAAAGTCTGTGTTACAATTACTCCACCAATTTCGTGATATAATACAACTTTGTCAGTATATTGTAATGGTTATAAAATTGTTTTTATAGTATACATTATTTAGAGGAATTTGATTCTTAGTTTTGGTCAAAAATAAGTTTGTCGTTAAAAGTTGTCATAAAAACCATTAGTCATAAAAAGATTTCGTGCTTAAATTATTTTAAAAACTTCTTCTGGTAAGATTGACAAATAACTTATCAATCTAATAAATTAATCGTTATCAAATTGGTTGACACGATGCTTGCAATTTTTTTTTTTTTTTTTTTCTTTAATATTATCTTTTTTTTGTGTGTAATAAGATTCCGATTATGGGACCGTAAGGGTTACTTTTGTTCTTTTATGAAATTATTCTATTAGCACCATGTAATGTCCACCTAAAATATTTTTTATGATTGTTTCTCAAAGTAATTCAATAAAACTGAACCTTTTTTCTAATCTGTATTTGTATTATCTGTAATTATATTTTCTGAGAGCTGGACGGCACTGACTAAAATTTTTTTTTAAGATGAGTTACTTGCAGATAAACGAAAGTTACTTACTTAAAAATACTCTTATATTATTTGAAGTTTCTACTGAAATCTTACAATTAGTTCTGTCATCTAAAAATATTACGAAATTTTCAATAAAAGCTTAATTATTAAAACTAAAAGACCACTGTATCTCAGTCATTTAATTTTCACATATTTATACTACGAATAATAAGGGGATAACTGAATTAAGGTGAATAGGTTACGAGTAGCTGAACAAAAGAGAACAGACGTAATTAGCGGAATTACAGATACTGATAAATATAATGGTAGTCTTGTTTGATGTATCCATGTGTTTGTAACTTAGTTGACTAAATTTTGTTACTTTTATACGTTTAATGTTCCGAATGGTTGTAAAAATATTTTTTTATTTAAATAAGTCAGATTCCGAATTTAACACATTTTTTAAATGATAGTACAGTTTGAAATCTTGTTTCATACGTAAATATTTGACAAATGTGATCTGAGGTAAAATTCAGTTAGCCTAATCATTTATCTACTAATTTACTTGCATGATACTTAGCGCACTACGAGTGTACAATAGTCTTGCAATGTCATATCCTCCAGCTTATAATGTTATAAAAATTTTGTGAAAAATTAAATGTAACAGCACAAAAAAATCTAACATTAACGTTTCAACACAACATTTGTAAATAAACTAAGAAGAATATTAACTAATGAAACGTGAAAAGTAATTTTTTTAACGTTATACGTATCACGTTTAAAATGCGTGTTTTACTCTTCTGAGTCCAAATATTAGAAAATAATTATTTTACATCATTTAAAAATACTTTGATGTGTATTATGTAAGATTGCAAGTTTGAGGACTCAAATCTGTTTCTGTTTTCAGGAAAGCCATGTTGACCTTGAATGAATTTTTTGAAACATTAACAACATGAACGTTACTAGGTTACGTTAACAAAATTACGCTAACAAAATCTTAACTATAAAACTTCAAATAAGAATATAGCACCGCCATTGAGTTAACATTACATGCTTTCACATGATTTTGTACACTTAACTTGGCTGATTAAAAGTGCATTACTTTATGAAGATAATTAAAACTGCTGATTTGATCGAGTAAAATTTGATTATATTCACGATGATATTGATACAGACAACATTAGAATATTAGACCACAAAATTTGTTTTAGATGTACTGCATTTCATATTTCTAAAGTAACAATTTAGTTTAAGTGCTCGTATGCATTTGCGACATTAACTTCAAAAATTTAGAAATAAGTTTGTATAGTCCCATTATCACATTCTTTGAATTGCTGCAAAAAGTTGATCTGACAAACGTCGAATCATCATTTCCTGATCAGTTACATGTAAGTAGAATGCAGTCCTATAAGTACTATTTACTTTTATAATATACATATTTTAAGAACTGCCCTGTTTAATCGACAAGTCAATGGTTAAACAGATTGCTCTAATTACAAAAAAAGGGTCGGTTTAACGTTTTGCTTATCGAAAACATCAAGCAAGTCTTAAGTAACAAAACAAATTTCATAATTAAGAGCGCTTACATGAGCATCTTTATCCTGGAAACTGAAACAATATATAACTAATGAAATATTAGCAACGTCACTTAAAGTACATGAAACAAAATTACATACATAACAAATAAAATATCATAGTAAATCTTCTAATGTAGTAATTTTAACTGTACCATGCAAGTCAAGATAAAAACTCAGTAGCTGTATTTACTTCAGAGCACTAGCTTCTTATACAACATAAGGTATGTTACCTTAAGTTTGAATGATATGTGTAAGGAAATCACGTTCTTGGGTAATTGTGTGAAATTTGAAGCAAAAGATCTCGATACATTAGTTTAACACATGATACTCAAGCCGTATGTAAGTATATTGTACTGCCCATCTATTCTATTCATAATAATAAATTTCTCACAATCTTTAAGTTCGTTTCGTAAGGGTTTTTACACAGACCTAACAAACCAATACTAAGTCTGTCACCAGGATAGTGAAACGTGAAGTTATAAGAAACAATTGAATTTGGCAACTATTTCTTTGTACTTAGCTGATGTAAGTAAGTAAAACAGGATCGAACTTTTCTGCATTTTATTCTGCATCATTCTACCGTTTGCAGAAATAGTACATTTTGGTACTAATACGAGAGGAACTTGATTAACGCACGCACGTTTTAATTTCCGCTACTACTCCGCGTACTATGGTGATAACAACTGTTCCAAAAGAAAACTTTAATAATGATTTACTTTGCAGTCTATTGTAGTATCGAAGCCAGCAAAAACGCGCTGTCCTGTGCAGTACAACACTGCCTGCCAATAAATTTTTATAACGCAAAACTTAGCAACTAAAGCACCATGGCATCGTTAACAAAGGAGGACTGGCAGCAAAACAGTAAGGGCTCGTCATCTTTATCAGTGGCCCGGGGAAGAGGTTCCTGATGACTTCGAGCGGCGAAGGACGACAACACGGCCTTAGCGCGATGGATAAAAGCTCGTTTCCCCATGATCGCGTAATCCTGTCAAGAATACGCAAAGCGAACGATGAGGAGATCGACGATGACTCCGCGCACCTACTACAAATAATTCGTGATAATATGGAAGTGAACGAGCTTCTTAAAACCACAACAATGGCAGCAATATGGAACACACTGACCGGAGCCCCTGATCTACGTGTCAAGACGAGATACTAAATACATCCGCGTCAACCATAGGCTTGGAAGATAACAGAAGGGTTCTATCAGCGCAGATTCTCGAAGAAGAGAATATATTGCTGCAGGACAGATTATTAGAAGCCAGCGAAGAAATCGTGGGCTTGACACGATTAAGCTCCGCTTTCAAAAGAAAAAAAGATCATTCTCAAACGAGAATCGGGACATTCCGAGACCTGCCGTTAGACACATGAGAAGGGACAGAAAGCACGTCCAGCGCTACCCCGTCGAGCAGGTGTGAAACGATCTTTAGCGAAGGCGCGTTTGAAAAAATCGCTGAATCGCAAGAAACACTGTCCAAGAGTAGCCGAAGAGACGTAGACAAGTCTTCAACATCGCAGATACAAGCGCCTCCACGACACATGTCGATCGGACCCCCGTGGCCATACCCACCAGTCAGCTGAGTGCAAGCGATATGCCCAGTATGCGCGGTAACAAGCTCATACACGGCATCGGTAAGCTATCTGCAAATAAGTAGGTGCTCAACTGCGCCACCTGCTCGTACAATCCAGACGCAAACGTTTACGAGGTGGCCACACACGTATTCAGTGAGCTCGACAACACGTCTGACGTACTTCCACCTAACCCCTTATTCGGCTGTACCAGTTAATCCCTCATGTCCAGCCTGATCAGAGGGAGCCTCCCCCTTCAAAAAGATTTTTGAAATCTGGTCTGACGCCGAAGCTCGGATTCGCGCTCACGAAGTTGAGATATGAAGAGCGGATCTGGCACAAAAGACCACAGCTATAAAGACGCATTTCCCTCGCTCACAATCGCGCTGATATAAGTGTAACCACTTAGGCCACTATGCGCGGGAGTGTCCTAATAAGAGGCAGGAAAACGAGAGGAGGCAGACGTAAGCAAGGGTATTACGCTCCCTTCTTCTCTCAAACCCTCACAGGCTGCGGTTGCATAGAAGGATACGCACCGATGGTGGCTACAGCTTGAAGTAGCTGTGTATAAGCTACGAGCGCTATACGACCCTGGCACCACTCACACTGTCATGTGAGCAGTGGGGTTTCATATAGCGAACGCCTGCGGTCGTCAGCTACGTCGCACGCTGTAAAGCGCTGTAATAAACACCCGAAGCCTCGTCACCCAACCTTTCGATCTAGGAAGGGCAAAGCGAGACGTGAATGTCATCGTATTGCCTAAGTTAGATGATGATTGCTGCGTTAGTGTTAACTTCATCAACGCTTTCAATATTGTCCATGATCCTGTCGATAGAGTCCTGGTGCTGAAATAACAAGGAACCAAATCACCTCTAGAGATAGCAGGCCTGACGGTAACGGGTAAGATCCGATTCGCCATAAGGCTGAACGAAGTCTCGTTCATGCAACAAGAGGAGTTGCTCATACTCCTAGACCGCTACGTGGAGCGTGATGCTCTCCTAGGATGCAGTTCGTGGATCAAGCATAATATTGAGGTCACGACCTCGCGGTCCATCAAGCAGAAGTGCTACCTCGTATCGAAAAAGATCCAGGAGATCATACACGCCCACCTGAGTGAGATGCTCGAGAGCAACATGATCGAGCCATCTATAGTGGCTGGACAAGCCCTGTAGTCGTGACACGTAAGAAAGATGGCAAGTACAGATTTTGCGTTGACTACTAGAAGTTGAACGCTGTGACAGTGCCCGACACGTATCCATTGCCCTATATGGATACCATCCTGCGTAAGCTAAGAAAAGCGCGGTTCATATCTACCCTTAATTTCAGCAGCGCATATTACCAGATACCATTAGCCGAGAAAGCTAACATAATATTGGGATATTGGCATTCACAGTACCATGTAAAGGACTTCAATTTCCAATAATTACCTTTTGACCTGAGTAATGTGCTGGCTACGTTTCAGCGGCTAATTGATCGTGTCATTGAGCCAGAGCTCGAATCCTATGCTTACGCCTGCCTCAATGACGTATTAATTGTCATCAAGATTTTTTAGGAACATCTTAAATAGCTGGAGCACGTACTGAAAGGCGTTTGTGATGCAGGGCTCACCCTTAACTGAAGGAAAAGTGAGTTCTGATAATCAGAGGTGAGATACCTCGACGTCCTCGTAAACCGGTTCCTAGACATGGTTTCTTGGTAGAGGAAGTTCCTGCCAAACTACTCGACAGTAGTTGAGCTCATAAATAGGATACTGTGCAAGGACCAACCGTTCGTTTTGAGTGACGAACAACAGCAATCCTTTAAAAAAATCAAGCCTTTGCTGTCATCCTCAGTTGTAGTTCATCGACCGGGCCTTAAGAGTCAGTACGTAGTACAGATAGATACCAGCGACTTCAGATTAGACAATCAGCCATTTAAGCTGCAAGAAGCCATTCAGGATCGTGTTCTGGCTGTATTACTAGCCGGGATACTACCAGGATGTTACCCAATACGTATGAAAATGTTTAATTTGGCCACAAACCAAGGTA